CCCCTCCTCCCTCACAGGCCCCTCCTCCCACCCAGGCCCCTCCTCTCTCTCAGGCCTCTCCTCTCTCTCAGGCCCCTCCTCCCATTCAGGCCCCTCCTCCCTCTCAGGTTTGGCAGCATCTGGGTCCTACCACTTGCCCTCCAGAAACAGAGAGGGTTTGAACAGCTTCCTGCCTCAGGCACCGTCTGGCCTCAGGACCTCTGAGGGCCGGGGTCAACAAAGTAAGAGCCTGGACTTGGGATGCAGTTCAGCTTTGGAGAAAGCCTTTGGCTTCTCTGGGAAGGCGCTTGCTAGATGGGTGATCCCTTGGGCCCCATGCATACCTAACAGCCTGGCGYGTAGAACCAGGTGGTCTTTGCAACATGGTTGTCATGGCAGCAGAGATTCTAAATGGTCCTCGAGTGACAGAGCTGGTTATTTGTCAGCAGGTGGTCAGACAGTCAGCCATGAAGATACGGGTCCCTCGGTTCATTTGAGAAGTGGACATGGTGAGCCCAGTCAGTCCCAGGACCTGGGACCAGCAGGATACTAGTGCAGCAACAATAAAGCCTCCCGCCCCCTGAGTGACCCATGGAGACAAGGATGGCATTCCATGCTGCACATGGCACTCCTCACTGCACCTTGCATTTGATGCATATTTACTGACATGGGTGTCATGTCGTATGCTGCGAGCTGGGGACCAGAGAYGAGTCCCCTTGGTCTCAGAGGGAAATGTGATGGAGAGAAGCCTGGGTGCCCCTGGCCCACAGAGGAGGAAATGGCATCCAAGCCCAATGGGACAGAGACAGCTTCTCAAGAGTAGGGGAGCTCAAGGGGAGGCAGGCAGGGTGGGGAGCAGCCATGCAGGCAGAGCATGTTGCGGGGAGGAAAGTCACTGAATGGTTGAGCTTACAAAAAGAAGGAGGGGACAGAATAGGRATGAATGGATGGATGAATTGCAGGCATTTTGGAGAAAACTGCTGGTAGTTCATTTTTACTGCCTTGAAGAGGAGTGAGAAATGTGAGGGAGAAGTGGGCAGGAGTCACGTGGTAAAGAATCCTGAGCTCCAGGTTTGATCTGTAAACTTCGGGAGCCATAAAAAGATTTCATAGTCAGATTTGGATCTAGGCATGACTCCTACATCTGCCCTGTGAGACTGGGTGGCTGGGCAGGACCAAAGGTGAGGTTCAGCTGTCCACAAAGGAAAGAAGGAAGGACCATGACTAAACCAGGGTATCRGGGCTGGGGGACAGAGCTGATTCTGAAAATAGTGAGCAGACAGAAACACCAGGCCCTGGTGAAGGTTCTGGCTTTGGAGGTGAAGAAGAGTGAACCTCAGGTGACTCTCAGGTTCCCAACTCGGGTGAGTGGCAGTACGGTTCCCAAAGATGGAAAATAGAGGAGAGGAAGGGGCTTGCTGGGAGGGATCATGAGTTCAGCTTCAGGCGTGTGCTGGAGGCGCCGGGAGGATCCCAAGGTGTCCCGGGGCAGCTGAACAAGAGTCTGGGCTGGGGACTGAGATTTGAGAGTTCACAGAACAGACAGGGCATTTGTGGCTGGGGTCATGAATGAGGCTGCCCAGGGAGAGCTGGGGGAGGAAAGAGCCCTCAGAAGAACAACAGCATTTAGGGAGGAGCTGAGGTGTCATTATCATGCCTCCTACACCAGCATGTCAGGAAGGACCATCCCTGTTTCTGAGATGAAACTTCGGCTCCAGGTGATCAGGACCAAGGGTGTGCAGCTAGTTAGTGGAGGAGCTGGGATTTGAGCCCAGATCTCTCTTGACTCTGAATTCTAATAAGCTCTTTCTACCATACCATGTTGAGCAACACARGGCTTGGCACAAAGTAGATGCTCATTAAATATTGGGCTGGCTGGATGGATGGATGGACAGATACTATTAGCAGCAAGAAAGGCCAAAAGATTTCAACCAACAAGCAGTGTGCCTGGGAGTCTGTCCATGATCCGAAGCAGCTTGGAACTTTTTATAGCATTGCAGACAAAGGCCTGCTTTCCTTCAACTGCTCTGTTAACGATCCTTTAAAGTCCTTTCAGAGCGAGTTTTTTTTTTTTTTTCCTCTCTCTCTCTCTTTCCATTCTTGCTTGCAAACGAAGGATGGTTTTAGAATGCAGGCCTTTTTTATTTTGCACAAGCACACGATGAGTAAGATGGCTTCCTAGTCAGCACTTTCCAATTTCGAAAGATGCTAAAAACTGATCTTTAAAGGCATGTTTCCCTTCTTGGTGCATCAAAGGGCCTGAGGCCTGCTGGGGGTGGGGGTGGGGGTGGGTAGAGACCCGCAGGAGAATGACATCTCCTGTTGGACTGGGTCTCCTGGCTGCTGAGTGGAGGCCGGGCCTCATGCCCAGCCCATCTTTCTTTGGCCTAATCTCTATGGGTCAGGGCCTACGCTGCATCCCAGTCCCCAAAAAGTGATGTAAGACCCATTACCTTGACCCAGGAGGGACCTCAGCCAGCCACTTGTTACATGTTTGTYGAGTGAATGAGTTACAAGGGTTGTTGTACAGTATGCACCTGTTAACCACATTGAGATCACTAGTGTCCCATTTATGGAGCTTCCAAGTACAGATTTACCTTAGAAATGAGGGTGGGCTGGGGAAAATTCTCAAATACTAAGGCTTTCCAGTCCCTATGGGCACTTGCTATGTGGTAAACACATCATGAGGGTTGTTATCTCACTCAGTCCTCCCAGCAATCCTGTCAGGTAAGTTCCACCATTATCCCCCCTCTTCTGGATGAGGAAACTGAAGCTGGGACAGGAAAAGGAGCTGAGATTTGAACAATCATGGAGAGCCTCTGGGACCTCTAACCAGGAACCTCTGGGGGCTCTAAGAGTGCCCTGAGGGGCTGGTTGGTTGTTGAAAGATAGAAAAGTCTAGAACACAGTGGGGGAGTGTGATTGACTGGAGTCTTGTGTTTTCCCCTCCTCTGGCCTCAGTTTCCCTGTGTGGGAGGGAGGAAGCACCCTCCAGGCATGGCCTGTACCCCAGGCTCTTCAGAGTCATCTGCTTTGGATGCAGTCCTGCCCCTGGCTGCCCCAGACCAGGGAGGATTCCTGCAGGAGCTGGGAACCAGGCTGGGAGGGATGGGGGTACTGCCTGGGGCATAGGAATGTGTCCTGCCTGTGGTCTTAAGCCCCGGGCCATGCCTGTCACCCGCTGGCTCTCACATGTGTGTTCTTCTCTTTACAGGGCAACGATGTGCGGATCATCCTTGGCCAGTTTGACCAGAATATGGCAGCAAAAGTGTTCTGTTGTGTAAGTAAAGTGACCAAGCCCTTGTGTCCCCACTGGGTGTCACAGCTGGGGTGAGGACTGTCACAGGACTAGAGACAGGGAGCTGAAGCCTGGTGCTCACTGATGCTTCCTCTTTTCAGGGAGCCCCCCAGGCTCAGAGCCCTGCCCACATCTCCCAGCCTGAAGCATCAGTGCCCCCTGCCGAAGCCATTCAGCCCCTTCCCAGCTTTCAGCCTGGCTGCGCTTTGCTGGGCCTGCTCTGTGTCCTGCACAGGGAGGCCCAGCTGTCTGCACAGGTGTGAGTGACTCAGCCTGCCTGGTCCTGCAAGCAGGGCTCAGAGCTAAGTCCAGGACAGACCATCAGTCCTTCATTGTCTCACCTCAAATCCTTTATGGTTGGCTGGTGTGTGACAAGTGACCAGGTCCCTCTTAGACCTTACCTCATTTAATCTTCAAAACCACGTGAAGTCTAATTGCATGTCAATTATACTTTAATGAAAGCTATTGTTTTAATACAAAAATAATTCAAACACAAAGAAAAAAAAAACCACGTGAAGCAGCTACAGTTGTCCCATTTTACAGAGAAGGAAATAGAGTCCCAGAGAGGTGGAGGGCTTGTCCAACAGCTCAGCCAACTCGTGGCCAAGCCAAGCTTCAGTCCCTGCTCACCTGGTGCCCAATCTGATCTAAAAAAAGGAACATCTCTCTGTATGATATTCGACCTTAGTTACCCAGAAAGGAAGCCTGTTTCCGTTTTTGATTCCCAGCTCCCCTCCTCCACCTGGGTCAGGAGAAAAGCCAACAGGATGAGGGCCAGCTAGGGAGCACTGTCTGCCTAAGAGCCTCCTCTGACGGAAGGTGTTCTAGGTGTAGTCCCTGGTGATGGCCACAGAGCTGTTCTCTTTCACCTCTGTGTGAGCAGCTTGGAGGCGGTTGTAAAGAGCAGGCTTGTAGGAATCGTAGAGGTCATGAAATGCACCRGGTGACAGAGCCAGGGTGCAAAGAACCAGAATAGGCTGGAATGTTTGATGTTTGATCAACTCCAGGAAAATGAAATCTAATGGTTCTGATATGAGTTACATTAGAACAACCGGGCTGGCTGAAGTTCAAGGCCCAGCTGAGGAACAGTGTATGCTGACCCCCAGAAGGGGCCTCTGGGGTGGTCTCAGCTGACCCCACATTTAGCACAGGGTCTATGACAGGGGTCACCAGTGTGACCACAACTTCCAAAAGACCAAGGTGACCTCAGACTTATGCACACCAGGATGAAGCTGTCACCCCCCCATCGCCCTCACCCTGCTGTCTGCTGGGGACTTGGCCTGGAGTGTCCTGCCCACCCTGGTGCCCCATTTCAGGAAAGAAAGGGACCAAAAGGGGACCAGGAACAAGAACAGAGCTGTGGCTGCGGTCATGGTCACCTGGGATTACAAACACCCTCTGCACAGCCCAAAGCATGGTGGGTGCTTGGTAAAGACCAGTACCCTTGTTTGCCTGTTTCACCTGGAGAGGGAGGGTCTCGGGTGTGAAGATGGAGCACCTGGCTGCCTGGTGCACTTGCTGATGGGCTCCATGGCATCTGGAGCATCCCGTGAACCAGTGAGGATAGAGAGGGGCCTTTCTACAGTGAAATCAGAGGAGGGAAACAAGAACAGCCGGAAATACGAGCACAGACATTTAATAATTTCATCCCAAMCCCTTTACACCTTGCCCTTGACACCAAGGACCCATTTTGGAAAGGAAAACGAAGTCCCAATTTGGAGAGCACTTTGGAAGAGGAACTGAGTCTTACCCTTGGGGACCCCCAGACCTTGCAAGAAGCTGGCGTGCTGCGCGAGTTGATGCTGGTCAAATGAAGAAGAGCCGTAACTCCAGGAAAAAGAATAACAGTAAATAAAAATGACCCAGGACGGTGCCGCGCCCTGTACAGGCAGGCTCCGGATGGAGACCAGCAGAACCTCTGCTCTGCTCAGACTGAAGCTGGGCCGCCTTCCTAGGACCTCACGCCGGCCCRCACCGGAGGGGATGATTTTGCTTTCTGTAGTGGCGGCTTCTGCTCTGGGACAGATGGCCTGAAGGTCTGCCTCCCACAYGCACAGGGGCTCGCTGCCCTCGCCCACTCTGCCCTGCACTCTGGCTGGTCTCGGCAGGCCAGAGTCTTCCCGATGCAGCTCCCCAGGAGCGTCCGGGGGGCTTCTGGTCTGGTGCGAGCCCACGTGTTGGTCCATGGAGAAGGAGGTGTTGAGGAGGGAGGGGCTGCTCAGAGCAGAGACCCCCTCAAGAGCCTCCTGTCCTGACCACAGGGACGCCACCGCGGCTTCACCATCCAGATGCTGCCTTGCAGACCTCGCGGCCATTGCTGGGCTCTTGAGATTGGAACTGCCACTCAGTGGGAGGGCAGAAGGCGAATGCAAGGCCTATTTATAGCCCTGTGGCCATGTATTCATCTTGGCTCCAGCACAGGGCCAGCAGCAGTGTGGCTTTGGTCTTCTCCTCTGTCCTGGGTGGTCTCGGCTAAGTTCTCCAGCACTCTGATCCAGGTTCTGACTTTAGCATTGCCAGCTGTGTGTCCTTAGGCAGGTCACTTTAACTGTCTGGTCCCCAGCTGCCTCATCTCTAGGATAGAAGCAGTGCTCCTTGATGGGTGGGTCATTGGGTGGTGGCTTCATTTAAAAGTAGGAGCCTCATCCCAGCTATGACTGCTTGGCCCATGTGAAGGGTTCCTTGCTACTGTTGTTGGGAATCTTAACAGAAAAAGGAAATGTTCCTCCTTTTTAAAAATTATTTTGTAAACTTTTTTTTAAGCCGTCAATAGACCTTTATTTGATTTATTTATATGTGGTGCTGAGAATCGAACCCAGTTTCTCACATCTGCTAGGCGAGCGCTCTACCACTGAGCTGCACCCCCACCTGGGAAATGTCCTCTTGCAGGGGAGGGGAGGAGACAAAAGAAACCCTAATAAACAAAGGAAATGGATTTTGTTTTTTAAAAATGCACATCCTGGTTAATGTGTGCCGCTAATAAGTACCAGTGCTGTTCATGGGGCTGGAGAAGGTGAGCTCAGGGCCATCTATCACACACAGGGTCCATTCCACAACCTCAGACCCTGACACCACCTGTCCACCACTGTCAGAGAAAACGAAAGCCCAGGCAGCTGCAGAAATGGGAAGTACAATACATCAGTCATGACACAACCGCTTATTGAGTGCCTCCTGTATACAGGGCACTGGGCTAAGTATTGGAGACCCAGCAGACATGATCCCCCAGCTCCCAGCCCCCCTCAGAGGTCCTGTGTGGAGCTATCTCAGCTCCTGTGACCAGGCATGGGGAGGATGGAAGCCAGTGGATCCGAGCACGATCATCTGGGGCATTTGGAGCCATCCTCTGTGAGCCTGAGAGCATCACTGTGCGTGGCCTAGAGGAGTGCAGGAAAAGAACTGCCAGCCAAAAGAGCGGGAAGGGGCGAGAAGGAGCAGCGGAATGTTCCTGAGCGAACCTTTGCAGGCTTGGCACATCTTATCTCACTTATCTCTTAACCACCCCAGGGAAGCGGGATCTGCTCTGCATTCTGCAGAGTTGGGATGAGGARGCCAGCTGAGCAGCTGCTGTGGGAATCACCTGGCTGGCCTGTGGTGGGGAGCCTGTGCTGTTGGCTGGACTCTCTCTTTTTTTTTTCCCCCTGAAGGTCAGAAGCTATGCTGGAAAAAGTTTTAGATTCATCAAAAATAATGTTTAAAGCAAAACATGTTGTCATTTACATGAACCGAGCTTCTGTTTTCTGGAAAACTCAAGAGGAGACTGGCAGGTCACAGAACTGGCACTGAGAGCCCCACTGTTCTCCCAAAGCCCTTGCTGGGTGCTGAACAGCAGTTCCCACTCGGGTGTTGTCCTCCATCAGCAAGGAAAAGCTGCTCCTGCGTGTGAACGGAGGATCCCTTCAGGTCCTCGCTGTGCACCTGTAGCTCAGCCAACACACCTTCCTGACACTCCTGCAAGATCAAGAACGCTTCCAAAGAGGTTATCTGTTTGTTTTTTTTTTGTTTGTTTTGTTTTGTTTTGCTGAGAAAAGTGGGATACTTCAAAAGTGGATCTTGAATCCTATTCTTTGGACTTTCAAGCTGTGACTGGACGATTTCTTAGTCCTTTTTATTTTTTGAGCCAGAGTCTCCCCAAGTTGGAGGTTTGTCTCCAACTTGCAATCTTCCTGCAGCCTCTGAACGCAGCTAGAGTCCCAGAGCCTCATCTACCTCCCCAGCTGCTCTCCCCAGGTCCTCCAGCTTCACTCGACCCTGATCTAGGCCAAGGGATAGCAGGGTGGGACACAAATGTTTCCCACACAACCTTCTACTGTAGGTGTCACCCTGCGAAGGCCTGAAGGGTCGCAGAATGTTCAAGTTTCAACGCCTGTGCATTGAGGTAGCGCCTGGGCATCTCCATCCACCAAGCTGCTCTGAAATCCCTTCTGGGCATCTCCATYCCTGAGGACAGGATCCATACCGAGAAATTTATTCTGAACCCYGGTGGAGCATGCCTTCCTAAGGAAGGATTTTTCTGCGTGCACCAAAGCTATCCAAGGGTGCTTTTCCTTTAGTATGTGATAATTGCAGTAAGAATTAAAGCCAAATAGAGGTGCATCAGAGCATTCCGAAGCCTTTTTGTTTAATTGGGATGCAGGCTGTGTGGCCCTGAGGTCTCACAGCAGGCAGAACTAGGTCCCCAGACAGACTTTCCTCCCTAGCTGTGTGACCTTGGAAAAGTTAATTTCCCTTTCTTATTTTCAGTTTCTTCCTCTCTAGAGTGAGAATGATAAACCCTGCCCTGACTGCCTCCCAGAGTAAATGTGAATGACAGTCACAGCAGATGTGTGTCATGCATACACATGAAAGAGACCTGGGTTTAGGATGTCAATTTATGTACATCAGGCTGCCGGTAGAGATTCAGAGATACTTCTCACTTTGCCAAATRGCATGGTAAATAAACTGTCCACCCAGATTAAATATCTTGGCCCCTTGAAAATTGCTTCCCTGGGGTAATGTTTTGAGGTATGACCTCAGCTTTTAATAAAGAGCTATAAAAAAATAACAGTTTTTATGAAAYCTGTTATAGAAATGGTGTTGATGCCATGCTGGCTATTGACAGAGTCCTCCATATGAGGCATGTTTGGGGCTAAAGACTAGAAAACACAGTTTTTCCAAAAAGCTGATTTTTTTTTTATTTATTGGTAATGACAGCTACATAATAAATAATTTTATTACCCTTTTCTTTTGGTCCTCCAGGAAGCTCATGATGTAATATGCAGCTAAATCATGTATTGGGTTGGAACCCTTGATTTGCTTGTTYGTGTGTGGTTCCCTTTACCTCCTGCAGACTTATTATAGTTTGTATTTTACTCAGCCCTTATGTTTTCATTTTTATTAATTATTCATTTCATTTTTTATTCATTATTTTATTATGAATGTAAATTATCCTAGATACTTTGAAAGAACCTAGATGGAAAAATTGAAAATGAACAATGATAGAAAAATTAATAAATCCTCTGGGCCCTGGACAGATGCTTGACGCTCAGTGCCTTCATAGCCTCCCTCTGTTGCAGGCCTTCGAGGAGAACATGTACGGCAGCAAGTATCAGTGGATCATCCCTGGCTGGTACGAGCCTTCCTGGTGGGAGCAGGTGCACATGGAGGCCAACTCCTCTCGCTGCGTCCGGAAGAATCTACTCGCCGCCATGGAAGGCTACATCGGTGTGGACTTCGAACCTCTGAGCTCCAAACAGATCAAGACCATCTCAGGAAAGGTCAGTGCCTTGACTCTTCCACCTTAGCCCCCAGGCCCATCTTTTTTGACCATCTTGCCTGATAATGTTGGTGGAAGATGCACCAATATTGCCCTAGGTGTTGCTGTGTGACTTTGAGCAAATCACTGGAGCTCTCTGAGCTTCACTTACCTGTAATTCAGTCAGGGATAGTCACTGGGCTCTAGGAAGCTGTGGGAATTGAGTTGCTGCTCTGTAGATACCTAGCATGGTGTACAGGTAACAGATGGCGTACCTGACCTTCACCACACTGACCTCAGGGCCTAAAAGGCCCTGCCAGAGTGTCACTCCCTGCTGCTCTGGCCTGGACTGTCATCTCTTGTCTAATGATGCCTCATCTTTTTGGTGCTCTCTGGGAGGAGGGGAAAGACCCTCCRGCGGACTTTGGGTGCTATGAACCGGCCAAGTGGGTCGGAACTCAGCTTCATCACTTACCCGCAGAATGACCTTGAGCTTGGGTTCTCTGAGCCTCTGTCACACCCTCAAGGTGGGGATAAGGGGTCAGTGGGCTGTGGGCTTGGCAGAGCAATTGCACAGGTGGCCAGCGTGGTGCTGGCACAGGGTGCTGTCTCAGCTGGGCAGGGCCTTGGGAAGGTGCTAAGGTGCTCAGGCCCTCGTGCTGTCCCTGGAGGTCACCAGCCCTGACCTGCTTATCTGGCAAGGCTGTGCCAGGACCTGGGAAGATGGTATCTGTGATGGCATTTCAGAAGGACGCCGTTCTCCATCAATGTGCCTGTAACCAAAACTCAGGGTGATGGTCCTGGTGAGTGGAGCACCCCTTGTCACTTCCGACCTGCAGCTGGGTCCAGACAGCAGGACACAGGGCTCTTCCATTTCCTCTGTGTTGTGACCCAGACCCAGGGTTCCTGCAGACCCGATTGCATTTCCAGAAAAACCTTCCTTATATACATATTTAGCTTCTTTCATTATTTAATCTCAATCAAAGACAACTCTACACAAATGATTTATTGGTTTGTCAAAAAATAGCAAATCATTAGGACACATTTTTGTAAACAACTCTTTAGATCATGTTGGCTCCTGGTTGGAAAACACTGAAAGAAATATTTTCAGACAACAATGAATGTGTACGTAAAAAAAAATTTGAGATGTTAAATAATGAACAGATATAACTCATTTTGGTAAATGTTATTTTTAAGGGCGTCAATGTTGGCGATTTATTAAGGCACTTGGGTCTGGGAATACCCTATATTTTAATCTAAAAATAGTACAAAATATGAGGAAAATACAAAAACTAAGGGGAGAAAAAAAACAGCAAAAGCAAAGTATGATAAAAAGCAAAGAGTGTGAGACTGAGGAAGATCAAAGGTTTGGATGGCTCCCCTGAGACCCAGGGAGCGCAGCAGGGGTGGCCCCAGGCACCCGGGTGCCATTTGGGAGCGTGGATCTCAGGCAGGGTGGAGCCCCGCAGGGGCTGGAGCCCAGCTCAGAAGCGCCCCTTGGGGGGATCATTCCTCGGGTGTTTTCTGGAGATGTTTTGTCATTTGGAACAACACCCCCCACCACCACCCTGCACCCCTACTCTCATTTCTTCACTGGGACTGGGGAGGAGACCAGCCTCTGTCCTGCACCATCCCATGCACAAGGACCTCAGGGCTGTTGCCTCACCCCAGAGCCATAGGGGACCCACGTTCGGGGGCCCCCAGGGTGGGGCAGGGCGGTCAGGAGTGCTCTGCAAGTGAGGGGGCCAGTACTTGTCCCTGCAGCTGCTGAAGCGGAGCTGGCATTTCCTCTGACGTCCTGAGTGACAGGACAGTGGAGAAAAGCCTGCGGCCTCCATGGCCCTGTAGTCGGGAGTCCCAGCTGCTCCTGGAGATCTCCAGTCAGGTGTCACCAGACCCAGATCGACCAGCGGCAGAGGACTGACTGCTTCCTCCTTAACTGCCCTCTCCCTGCTGGGAGACTCCGCGGACCACTGAGGCCTTGCAGAGGTCCAGCTTTTGGTCCAGCTTTGGCGGTAGTGAGCATCATTCTCGGGGCATCCCTCCTGCAAACCCAACGGCCTCAGCCCTTCCAGGGACTTAAAGTTGTGGTGTGGGGCCTCAGGGCAAAATTTAAAGGGGTGTCAGAAACCTCAGTAATCAAGGTTTTTAAAAATATGTGTTAAGCTGGGCACAGCGGCTCTGGAGGCTGAGGCAGGAGGATCACGAGTTCAAAACCAGCCTCAGCAAAAGCAAGGCGCTAAGCAACTCAGTGAGACTCTGTCTCTAAATTTTTATTTTAATTATTTACTTATTCTAATTTGTTTTATATGATGGCAGAATGCAGTTCATTTCATATCACACATATAGAGTGCGATTTTTCAAGTCACTGCTTGTACACAAACTGTCCCTGAATTTAAAAATACAAAATAGGGCTGAGATGTGGCTCAATAGTTGAGTGCTCCTGAGTTCAATCCCTGGGGTGTGTGTGTGTGTGTGTGTTTGTGCACGCATATCCTGTGCTTTTAAAAATAATCAAAATTAGTACAAAAAAATGTGATTAAAAATATGGCATTCAGTGTTTTTATTCTGATTCCTGAGACTTTTTTTTTTTTTTTGGCTCCCCCTTAAATTTCTTACCTGAAGTTGTGCTTCATTTGCTTCACCCTGGTCCTGCCCTGCACAGGTTGTATTTATCAAGTCCTGACCCACACCCAGCTGTGCTTGCTCTTGTGGAACACCCCCTTCTGAGGGAATGTGGTCCCAAATGGATTGAAGTGTTCCTGTTTGTGATCTGGCCACGAGCCTGCTTCCTCGGCCAGCTGTCAGAGTGTCATATAACCAAAGAAAGTTCTRGAGTTGAGAAATGTTTCTCCAAGTTCATTTTTCTCTGCACACRACTGCTGGGGGCCAGGTCAGCTGGGCACGGGTGGCTGGATGGATGCGTGTTTTGGACCCAGTAGTGTCCGCGAGGACAAGCAAAGGCTTGTAGACTGTGACCTGCTGCCTGGTTCCTGGTTCACAAATGGGGAAGCTCAGGGCAGGAGGGAAGGGATGCACTCGAGGTCACAGTGCGTCCTACCTGGGGCCCGGGGACTGTGACAGGGAAGGGACGGTTTGCAGATGTGGTCAGCTTAAGGCCRTGGAGCTGGGTTCCTGGGCTCCCCAGGGGCCCCAAGTCCACTGACATGCATTCCTGTGCGAGCAGGTTGGGAGGCTGGCAGAGGAGAAGCCGCGCAGGAGGCGGATCCTGGACCTGGGGTCCACACTGGCCTTGGGGCTGGGAGAGAAGCCGTAGACTCCCCAGGAGCCTGAGGGAGCAGCCCTGCCAAGGCCTGGCGAGGACTTCCGGCCTCTGCTTTTGGACTTGTGGCCTCTGTGAACAAACACACTTCCAGTGTTTTTCCAGTTTKGGGAAATTTGCTGGCAGCCCCAGGAACCTGACCTGCGCTCACATGGCAGGCCAGGGGCACATCCTGAAGCCAGGGCTCTTGAGTCCTGACTCGGCGTCCTCTTCCATCTGCAAGGCCGTGACATGGCCCATGTCCCCTCAGTGGACCTCTGCTGGGAAGTGGCCTCTTGGGACCTGTGGACCTGGTGATCAGGACATCCAGAAGCCCTCCCACTCATACCTGTTACTCCAGGGCCTCTGCTGGTCCCACCCTGCCCTGGGCCTCCATGCTGGGCCTCCATCTCTTCAACTGCAAGTGTGAGGCTTAGGTCAGGTGGTTCCTGGGTCCTGGCAGCTCAGCTCCCTGGCTCTGGAAATGCAGTATGGTGACAAACACAGCTGCAGGACACAGCAGTGGTGTCACCTGGACTCTCCCAGGACCCAGGACTCCCTGGAAGAAAGTCACAGGAGCAGGTGACAGAGGGGTGCTCCAGGGTGCAGCCTTCAGGGCCTCCTCCAGGTGTCTGTCTGGCCTCAGCCCATCCCTGGCTGCTTACTACCACTAGACGTGTGTCGGTCGGCGGAAGAATGACAAGGTCATGGGAGCACAGGAGTGTCCTGCTGGGTTTCCAACTTGGGGACAGTGCACACCCGAGCACCTGCAGAGCTTGGTCTTGGCCCCATAGCCTCCCGAGGACAACCTCTGGGCACTGGCTCTGGGCTGTGACATCCAGCTCGGTCTTGGAGGAGGGTCCCAATCACTGTTCCTACAAAGTTCCTGCAAAGTGGCATTGGCAGTTTCCAGTGTCCCCTCTCAGGTTTCAAAGTGCCCTTAAGTTTCTATTGTGGACATCTGCAGCCCTGACCTGCTAGCCCTGAGGTGGTTCAGCCTCCCCAGGGAGGACATCTGTCTCCCAGTACCGTCCCCTGCTGGGACAGCTGGTCCAAGGAACCAGATGTTCACAGAGCCCTGAAGCCATCAGGGCTCCGAGGTCCGGGCCTCCAGCCAAGCCTCCTTCTCTGGAGGATCTGTGATGGCTTCTGGCGAGAACCTCCCATGCCCAGCACAATGGAGTGTCCAACAGCCCGCTGGCCCTCTACCCCAGGGCCCTGACCCAGGAAGGCTTCCACCCCTCACCTCTGCCACGGAAACACTGAGACCAAGCACTGAGACCAAGCACTGAGAGCAAGCACTGACAGCTTTAGGGAAGCTCAAGGCCCTGGGGTGGGGGAGGGGAGGTACCATGGAGAAGGGGCTCAGAGCCCAGCCTCAGAGTGCCCTGCCGCCCTCCCCTGGGGCTCTTGCCCTGCCTGCTTCCCTGGGTGTTCACTTTCTGGGAAACAGGGTGGCCAAGGGACACAGGCTGGGGGTGTGGGGGTGGTGTTGGTGGCCTATGGAGGATCTGCTGGTTAGATTGGAATCTTGGCTCTTCCACACTCCAGCTGGCAGGCAGATGGCTGGTGTCTACCCCAACATCCATACCTGTCTTCCTGCCTCCCACCTCAATAACTCAATTCAACCTTAACTGGATATATTGCCAAGCCACTGACAATGTATATTTCCCAGACTCCCATGCTAGATGTGGCCAGGATTCTAAGCCTGACCAAGTAGAAATATGAGACTTCTAGAAAGCGTCCTTTAAGACAGGACC